AAAAAAAAAAAATCTAGAGGTGCGTGGTTGCTGGGCAGTAGTTCAACTGTAAAAAAAAAAAAAAAAAAACCTACCTTTTCCTTAGCTTTCCTTTCCACCAGCTTTAGCTTGTAAACTTGTTTCCTCATGTTTGTAGCTTCATAGTCACAAGATGTTGCTGCATCAAAAAAAAAAAAAAAAAAAGGAGCAAAAGGCCTTTATATGGATTGAACTGTGTCCCCAAAAAAAAAAAAAAAAAAACCTAACCCAGACACCTGTGAATGTAGCCTTAGTTGGAAAAAAAAAAAAAAAAAAAAAGATGAGGTCATATTGAACCAGGGTGGGCCCTAATCCAAAAAAAAAAAAAAAAAAAAAAAGAAAAAACAGAGAGAAACACAAGAGGAGAATGCTATGTGAATGCACAGACACACACAGAGGGAAGACAGTCCTGTGAAGAAGGAGGCAGAAGTAAAAAAAAAAAAAAAAAAAGCCGAGGAATGCCAAGTATTGCTGGTGTAGGAGAGGAAAAAAAAAAAAAAAAAAAAACCTATCTTAGGTTCTCCAGCTAGGAAGAATAAGACTGTAAAAAAAAAAAAAAAAAAACAGTGGCTCAGGCCTGTAATCCCAGCAGTTTGGGAGGCAAAAAAAAAAAAAAAAAAAGAGGCCAGGAGTTCGAGACCAGCCTGGCCAACAAGTTGAAAAAAAAAAAAAAAAAAAAATCCAAAGATTAGCTGGGCTTGGTGGCAGGCTCCTGTAATCCCAACTATTCAGGAGGCTGAGGCAGGAGAACTGCTTGAACCCAGGAGGTGGAGAAAAAAAAAAAAAAAAAAAGTGGTATTACACTCCAGCCTAGGCAACAACAGAGCTAGAAAAAAAAAAAAAAAAAAAAAAAAGATTATATATTAGACTGACAAAAGACAGATAAAAAAAAAAAAAAAAAAAAAGTTTATTGAAATATGCATTGCACAGACACACAGGAGAAAAAAAAAAAAAAAAAAACAGAGGAGTGATTAGAACTTGAACTTAGCCTGGCGCAGAAAAAAAAAAAAAAAAAAACAGCACTTTGGGAGGCCAAGGTAGGCAGACTACGAGGTAAAAAAAAAAAGACCAGCCTGACCAACATGGTGAAACCCTGTCTCTACTAAAAATACAAAAATTAGCTGGATGTGGTGGTGGGCTCCTGTAATCCCAGCTACTCAGGAGACTGAGGCAGGAGAACTGCTTGAACCCGGGAGGCGGAGGTTGCAGTAAGCCAAGATCACAGCCCTGAACTCTAGCTTGAGCGGGCGACAGAGTGAGACTCCATCTAAAAAAAAAAAAAAAAAAAAAGGAACTTGAATTTACATAGCATTGAGCAAAGAACAATAATTTTGTAGAGAACTGGCAAGACAAAGGAAAATGACTTTGAGCTTCTAGGGGCAGCAAATTGTGGGAAGGCAAATATATGGGGAAACTTATGGTAGATGAGAGCTAGTTAATTCGTTTTGTTTTTGTAGATTCCTCTGGATGACATCTTGTCTCCAGTGATAAGGTGTTTTCCCTTTACGTTATCCCTTTACATTATCCCTTTACTGGTAGGGGGGTGGAGGGCGACACTTTCACAAGGGGAGCTTATGTTCTGCTTTCAGGCAGATAGGAGGTGGACAAAGACCTCATCCTGTGTCTGCTTTTTCTCAGTTGCCTTGAGGTCAAAATAATCCATATGCCAGAGTGGCATATTATGGGGTGGCATAATCCAAACCCCTTCATTGGCAAGTATCAAAAGCCAAGAGGAGACAAAAAAGAGTTTTTTTCCTCTACAGCTTTCAGAAGGAGCATGGGCCTGCTGACACCTTATTTCAGTCTGAGGGCCTTCAGAACTGTGAGACACTACATTTCTATTGTAACCTACCCAGTTTGTGATACTTCGTGATGGCAGCCCAAGGAAATTAACACAACACAAAATCTTGTCTTTACTTAGGTTATCTCCAGCTGATTTCTTTTCATAACCTATCGGCCAGAACAAGGTCAAATGCCCAAACCAAGAACAACCAATAGACAAGGGGAGAGAGATTTCCATGACTGGTTAGGCCCATCCTGGAGTCAGGGACCACTCTCCTTGGAAGCAAAATCCCTCCTCACCACCTGAACATACTGAAAGAAGGGAAAATGGCTCTTGGGGAGGTAATGGGTAGTGACTATCACACTTGAAGGTGGACCTTTGTGCTGTTCTGTGGACTTTAGAAATGCTACCCTACTTAACAGTGTTTGAGATTCATCTCAAAACGGATCTTTACATTCTCTCAGGAGTTTAGGTAAAGGATCCAGGTGGATAGCTCCAGGGTAAGAAGTTAGAAATGCTGACAGTATCTGAGAGGTAGTGTTCACAGGGAGAGACCATGGGATCTCATCTAAAACCAAGAAATGGATGGTAAATGTAGTGAAAAGAAAGTGTCAGGAAATTGGAAATCTCACGGAGGAGAAAAGGCAGGTGAAATGATCTGGTACTGATGAAAATCCCCCATCTCTACATCAAGGGGATTATTAACTCAGTTTCAAAAATAGAGAACAATAGAGAAAAAGAGAAACAGGAATGTTCTTTTAACTACAGGTAGCAGCGCATAGTAAGACATATTTTTAATCTTTTATCAGTGAAAGTGTAAACAGTTAAATCCAGCACTAAATAATAAATGTGTTAATGTTTTAAAGTATATTTTTTCACAGCTAAAATTAGAACTAAACATGCGAATGAACTCAGCACCAAGGGCCAGAGGTGATGGAGAGAACATTTCATCTCCCAGGCAACTCCCAATTCTGCAAGTTCTAGAATTCCTAAACATTAAATTTTCTTCATTGAAGACATATGTGGGAACTATACAGCTTCATCATAAGGCAACCAAGTCTTGTGATTTATGGGTTAAAGGAAAGTTATGCTTCTCCTGGGGTCTTCCTCCACATTTCAACCCAGACGGGCCTGGGTTGTGTCCCCAAAAAAGATATGTTGATATCCTAACCCAGATACCTGTGAATGTAGCCTTATTTGGAATGCAAATGTAATGAGTTAAGATGAGATCATATTTTTGTTCCGAGGAGGAGCAAAACTTTCACCTGGGCCTCTTCCACCTGGACCTATCCTTTATCCTAACAGCTCCAAGAACAGGATTTTAATTGGTCAACTGATCTACCTGCATCTTCCCAACTGCAACACGTTCTTTGCCCCATAGCTGCTTTATTTCCACAGTATGTCTTACCTGGAATCACCTCTTCCTTCTTGGAGTCCCTTCTGTCCCCCAGATATACTTTTGTCATGGCACCATGGCATTTTGTGGCTTTTAAAAATTACATGTCTTATCTCCCCTTACTAAGGACTTTGGGGACAGAGATCATGCCTTAGTTATCTTTGGGTTCCCAGCATCTAACACTGTTGGGGTCTCTTAAATGTTGGATGAATAAATGAATTATTAAAAGCTAATCTCAAGGGGGAATAGAATATGTCACAAATTCCTCAGCTGGAACTCATAGGGATCAATGATGTCCCACACGAAAGCCCTATAGGGACAAGAATTCAGGAAGGGTGTTAGCTGCAAATCTTCCTGGCCTATGGAAAAGCATGGAATATACTGTGAGCCATATATATCCTTGAAGCTAATCTAATCTATCTCAATGAAATTCTATGGTTAGGTATTGTCATCTCGCTTTCTAATGTGTAACTTTTGCTTTCCTTGGAAATTGAAAGGAATTGAGCCATTTCTTAGGTAGTTTCAGGACCATACTGCTTCTCAGAGTTAAGGACTTCCTTTCTTCAATGTGTACCTGAACATCCAGAAGTTAAAAACAAGAGTAGCAGAGTCTTGCAGATGCAAATATAGTACAGAAGTTCTCATCCATTGCCCAAATTGAAATGTGAAATGTAAACTGTAGCCATCCAGTTCCACTGCAGTGCTGGAGCAGAGGAGAAAGGGAGTTGGGATGAATGTGAAGAACTCAGAGGACCATTGGGAGCATATTCATTTTACTCATTCTCCATAAAAAGCAGTCATGTTGCTGGTAACCTGGAGGTGCCAGACTCATGTTGCTTCTGCGTGCAAAATGTCCCCACATGGCATTTTGCCCCATTTTCATTTCTGCTCTTGATTAGGTCACTGTGAACTTTCTCTCCATGTTTACTCGAAGTACCAGAAATATGTAGGGACAGCCTCCACTTATCTCGAGACTTCCTACTGTTCATGATTCAGCTCACTTTGCTGTTCTTTTTCATTTCCTCTACTTTACATTTTGATTGTTTTTTATCTTCTTTTTCTTCAGCTTTATTGCTTGTTTCATTGGTTCTTAGCCCAGAGTCTGGAAGTGACCCTGAGAAGTTGTCTAAGCAGAAATGCATGCATTGTGTTTTTAGATTGTTCAAGACAGGGCTGCCATTACCCCATTGGATGCCTTTGTGCAGAGTGGAAAAATGTGTCCCTTTTTCTGAGGAGATGCAGCCCTACACTGGGGTGCATGGCTTGGTTAGCAGAAGGCAGACTGATTTCAAAACCAAGTCTATTGTGCATTCTTGTGCCATGAATGGAGAGGTACAGCTCTGTTTAGAGAAGAGCCCGTAATCTTGCTTAAATAAGTCACTACAGCAACTATTATCTCACAGTGAAAATGTTCCTCTTTAAAGGCCGCTTAATAAATGAATGACCTTGGACACACATTTATTTCCTCACTTTTCAGTAGTTTACAACACCGTTCAAGGCTTATATTAGCGGCTTTCTGCTGCCACTAACACCAAATCCAAAACACCATGGACTTACTTGCAAGGTCTTATTCGCACTTTCAGCATAGCACCATGGACTTATTGGCCTGCTTTAGTGTTATGTTACCATCTCACACTTGTCTTCATTTCAGCAAACAATTCATAAACATGGACTAGGAGCCAAACTCTTGAAGCACAACTTTTGTTTATCTCCAGCTTGGCATTTTCACTTCATCTAACACTATTTACAAAACGCGTATCCTTGAAACTTCCAAACAGAAGACTCTGGGGATGTTTGGCAAACCCTCAGCATAACTTCTGCTGTTCCAGGCTTGGGATCCACAAAAGAGCTGCCTCTTGGGTCAGCTCCTCCAGCCCTGCTTGGCTCCTCCCTTGGCCACTCCCAGTCCCACAGACTCTCCTCGATGCACTGCGCTCGGACACCTGCTTGAAGCGCACAGACTAGTTTAGTATCACTTGAGGGAATCTTTAGGTATAAATTCTACACAGAAGAAAAATGTTAATACTCTATTTGCATAGCGTTTTGCTCTTTAGGAAATGCTTTCACATGCATTAGCTCGTGTAATCTTGAATTGGAATAAGCAGCCAAAAAGTGAAACTGCATACAATTCAGTCATCTTTCAGTCTATCCCACCCCGTTCTTTCCACGGTGCTGGTTGGTTCATAAAAGGGAGCAAGTGAAAGCCTGCCCCACTGTGGCCCCAGTTCTGGGCTTCAGTTTCCAAAATAGATACAGACCTTGCCCAAGTTCCATCTGTTCTGATCCACTTCCTCCTTGCCCTGGTCTCCAACCTTTGGCCCCCATGCGTTCACTTTGGTCGCCTCTTTGAGGCCTTTCTTCCTCCAACTCCCTGCAGGCTAAGGATGAAGTGGTTTCTCTCAATTCCCTTTGTACGAGAAACACAAGGTTCTTTATGCCTACACCAGTTTCAGTGGGAAGCCCTCTTTATAGCAGCTACGCAAATCCTGCTTCTGGGATACCTGTGACTCATTCACACAGAATCCTGATCCCTTCAAACAACAACAGTAATATTAATTCATGCTTACTGCTTTCTGTGTGGCAGGCGTGGCACTCTGTGCTCTCTGCATGCTATCTCATACTGTTGTAGATTTAGGTTGAGTACCTGATGCCAGTAAGCCAAACACTGACACATCAGTGCTTAGGAGCACAGAAAGGTTATTCAAATTGGCTACAGCATGAGGGTGCGAGAGGCACCTCTCAAACCCCATCTGCCTTTGAACATAACTGGGGGTCTTTTACGAGTAAAGTAGAGATGTAGGAGTTGAGATTCTCTGATGATGAAAGCTGCTTGTGTCCCTCGGTCAATTGAACTTCTGGATGCCATCAAGGAGGTCTCCGTGACCTGAGGATCATTGTTCTTTAAAAGAAAAACCAGTTCTTTAATCTTGCAGGCAGCTCCTGGGGGTTAGGACATGAAGTTAATCACTTATTAATGACTACCCACTACCGAAATGACTATGTGCAAGCAAGCATGCATGGAAGAAGAAAAGGACAAAGAAAGAGGAAGAAGTAAAATGAACATCTTATGATTTTTGTAATATAGGCTTGGGGCCATCACTTTCCCAACAGACACACTGGGCTGCTATGAGTATGCTCATTTACAAATGAGGTTGAATTGAAGCAGTTTTCACAAAGAGACACCACTTACCCTAAAGCCCTGAGCTGTCTGTTTCCAGACTTTTTTCACTCCTTTACCTTTTGCCAGCTTTACAACTTCATACATTTAATTCCTCAGAGACCACAATTTTTGTTTGAAATCTCTAAGTTTCTTCCTAATTCTATACCCCAGTGTCAGCATTCAGCAGTTCTGTAAGATCTCAAAAGATTATTTCTCCCAAATCCTCACTTTGTCCTTCCCCAGGCAAACATTCACATATTCACAACCCAATGCATTCACTTTACTCTCATCCTAGGCAAATTGGGGGAAGTCATGTTTCCATGGCAATCCGGAAGAAGAAATATTCACCGCAGGCCTGCCTCTGTCCACCCAGGACTTGGGCATAGTCATCATTCAGTCTTTGCTGTAAAGCAGAGGTTTTCAGCCCAGGTTGCACAATAGATTCCCCTGGGAACTTTCATAAAGCTGGACACCTGGGCTGCTCACCTTGAGGAACTGAGGCAGAATCGCTGAGGGTGCAGCCTGGACACAAAAGTTTTGGGGATTTTTTGGTTTTTTGGTTTTGTTGTGTTGTGTTTTTTTAGAACCTGGTGATTCTAATGAGAACCACTTGCCTGCCTTTCTCTTTGCCAATCTGAGTCCATTACCATTTTCTTGGGCTAATTCAGACATCATTTTCTCCAGATACTCTATGGGAGCACCTAACACGGCGCTTGCCACATAAATGATTGATTGTTTTCTCTCTGTACATCCTCATTAGCTCCAAATCAGTAGAACACCAATTTAATTTGCCTTCTTTGTAAAAATGTATTCAATCCACCCCATATCACTGTAGAATAGCTATACATTGTTCTAGAATTACTGTTTTCTTATTTCATATGGATCTGGTTTGCTTTAACTATTTCAGATATGGAGGCTACGTTTGTTTTTTGTTCGTTTGTTTTTTGTTTTGTTTTGTTTTGTTTTGTTTTGTTTTGTTTTGTTTTTGCCTCTTTCCATAGTGCCAGCAAAGAGCTTCTAAATCACAACAGACAGTAAATGCATGTTGCTAAAAGTAAAACCTATTTTTGCTTTCACTTTCCTTTGATATGAAAGTCAATGAAATAGGCTGCAGAGAACGGGAGTTTAAAAGGCTGAAATAGGAGAAATACATAGCCTGGAAAAAACTGGAGATGCCCTCCCCCCTCAAAAAAAAAAAAAGAGATACCCAGTAAGCAAAGTGAAATTGTATACTGCAGACTGATCAGCTCTATCCAAGTGGGTGCTCATTTTGGATATGAGCTCATACAAATGGTAAATGATTTCATTCAAAACTTTCCTTGGGGAAAAGTCACTTGGGAGTGTTCACTTTACATAAAAGAATCCAATTTAATCTTCAGTAGAAAAAGTGGAATTGGATGAGGGCAGAGCTCTCCTTTCATTTTAGAGCATAAAATTGGCAGCCTGCATACTGGTCGAGTCTCTGGTACTAACTAGCTGTGAGTTTGATACATCACTGAGTCCATCAGAGCTGACTGACTCCCAGGCCTCTCCAAAGTAATAATGGTAATAAAAATAGCGAACATTCATGGAGTTCTTGCTGTGTAACAGGCACTGTGCTGAGCATTTTTCATGCATTATTTCATTTAACCATCTCTCCTTGGGACAAGTACTATCATTAACCCCAAATGAGGAAACTAAGGCTCGGAGAGATTGATTTGTCTAAGATCACAAAGAAAATTTATTTTGGTGAAACTATTCATTCAAGCCTAGCTCCAATGTCCATTCTTCTTTCCTCACACCTACATGAGACCTTCCTTATCCCTACATTTGCAAGCAGAGTACATTATTCTGGGCTCACTGAATGCTTTATGCACACAGATATTTTAGCGCTTCTCCCACTGTGTCTTGTGAATTGTTTTTGCATGTCTCTCCTAGCTGACTGCAAACAATGAATTCAAGAGCTGTATTCTATTTGTCTTCTTACTCTCAGCACTTACCGTAGGGCTTAACAATTAGTAGACACTCATATGTACCAAAACATGAACTCTTTTATTTGTTATATCCTCGGAGAGGTTAAGTAATTGACTCATGTACACACAGGAAGTACAAAGTGAGACTGGATTTTGCATTCAGGCATCTGACCATCCCAGCTCCCTATGAGCATAACTGTCCACTCAGTTGTTCAAGCCAATGCAGAAACCAGGGAACCATTCCTTATAATAATTCCCTGCTCACAATTCCTGCCCCCTTCCCCCTTTCCACTCCAATCATTGTTTCAACCCATCACCTTCTTCCCAACCCTCAATCGCCATGGTAATTCAGATTACTGCCTTAACTCACCTGGATTACAACAATAGTTAGGGTATAGGATTTTGGCTGACCCCCAAAACAAAAGATTAAAAATTATGGATGACTTTTATAAACTACAAGCATGTCTTACAATTTCCCTTAGAGACAAAGATACACTTCTGCACACTCAGCCCTGAGTAGCTTCAATCATGGTTCTCTAGTAAGTTAGAATTATATTTTCTCCCTGTGACATAAATTTCAGTATGAGGATCAGCAACATTGCTCCAGTCCTATAAATCATATGAGGCAACCAAATAGTCTCCAAGATTCTAGTTCATTTTTTGTTCATCTGTTTTAAGATTGCATTTCACCAGTTTATTTCAGGGTGTCTGCCATTTTGGCCCCAGTTTTGATAACTGCAGATTGTTGTTATTTTAAAGCCATTTCATTGCTCAGTCTTGCTGGGACTGGGGCCCTGCCTTGCTCTTGCCCTCACTAAGCTGCATTCTGGTTTCCTGCCTGCCTCCCTTGATTTTGAATAAATATCACATGCTCTTGCTGTGCTTTTGCTGTGCTCTGCCACCTAGAGGGCCCTTGGTCATACTGTGTTGAGACCTCCCTGCAGGACTGGCTGCTTACCCTTTGCAGCCAGCATTTTTAAGATAACTTCCCTCCATGCTCCCAAAACACATCTGTCTCCCCACTGCCTGCCTCCTCTCAGGGATAGGTTTTTTTTTGTTTTTTTTTTTAGATGAAGTCTCGCTCTGTCGCCCAGGCTGGGGTACAGTGGCATAATCTCAGCTCACTGCAACCTCTACCTGCTGGGTTCAAGCAATTCTCCTGCCTCGGCCTCCTGAGTAGCTGGGATTACAGGTGTGTGGCACCACGCCCAGCTAATTCACCATGTTGGTCAGGGTGGTCTTGAACTCTTGACCTCATGATCCGCCCGCCTAGGACTTCCAAAGTGCTGGGATTACAGGTGTGAGTCACCGTGCCTGGCTGGGATGGGTCTCTTTACAGGTACTGAAACTAATTTAGAACCATAAATGTCCCTTTGATAGCTACTTATTGCAAACACAAGAGAAATTTCCTTAGTTTAAAGAAAATCAGTCATTTTTGGCAAACTACTTAGACTTTCAACAGTGAAGCTTCTCAGAATATTGAGGTCTCCTGCTCTTCTGGGAACTGTGGGAGAAAGTACTCCAGTTAATATTCTCGGACGACCTGCCAAGAAGAAAGGTCACACCAGTAGGAGTTCCATGTGCTATTTAAAGGACAGACCTTAGATGGGAGAAGCAGCAATATGTGGCCAGGGTTTTAATGAGGAATAGAAAGGTACCATGCGGCTAAATTAGATAGTAAATGAAATTGTTGTGTTCAGAAACAACACTGGCCACTTATCCTGTTTCATAATTCCTCTGCTTTAAGGTTATTATCTTCATTTTGAGTATTGTGAATTATTTATTAGTATTATATATTTAACTTGTTAAATGAAGAAATGTGTTCTTGTATGAGAGGGGGGAAGTAAAGCCTGTTTTAGTCTTTTGGAATTCATCTTCAGAAATATTTCTAAAAGTAGGCCAGCCGTGGTGGCTCACGCCTGTAATCCCAGCATTTGGGAGGCTGAGGCGGGTGGGTCATGAGGTCAGGAGTTCGAGACCAGCCTTACCAGCAAGGTGAAATCCCGTCTCTACTAAAAATACAAAAATCAGCCGGATGTGGTGGTGCACGCCTGTAGTCCCAGCTACTCCAGAGGCTGAGATAAGAGAATCACTTGAACCCAGAAGACAAAGGCTGCAGTGAGCTGAGATCATGCCACTGTACTCCAGCCTGGGCAGCAAAACTCCATCTCAAAAAAAAAAAAGAAAAAGAAAAAGAAAAAAAGAAATATTTCTAGAAGTGACAGCTATGTCTCAAGGGAGAAAATGAGGATCATGAGAAAATGAAACAGTTTTTCTCCATGTTAATTATGTGTACAATCCAAATCCATTTAATACTTGGTGACTATAAATTTATTCATTTTCCCCTCTACCCACCCTCCTTCCTCTGATTATCTTTCTAAATTCACTTACAGGCAGCAACTACCCAAAAAAACCCCACCATAGTAGAGTAGAGGAGTGATGGGTAATGTGTTAAGGAAGGTATAGTCCCTGTAAGTAACATGCTGCAGTAAGGGCCGGAAACAAGAAGATTGCTCACAGCAGCCCCAGTAGAGTTTAACATCAGATATTGAGGTGAGTCAGGAAGATCTAAGAAAATCAAACCTGAGTCTACCAGAGTTGTCTGTTCCCACTTTTTCATTCTTCATTTCCTCACCCTCTATTCACTTTTTATGTATAGTTAAATATTCATTATTCATTTTATTATGCCCATGCAGATAGCAGTCAGAACTTAATGTTATAGTATACTGGTTATGGTTATGTTTTATTAATCATTTGCTTTTTTCTTGAACTTAATAATTGCATTTTTAAAAAACTGCTTAGTTTTCTGGTCTCTATTACAGTTCTTCCCACACCTTCCAATATTCTATTAGCCGAATTTTCCAAAGATTAGTCAAACCAGGTGATGTATTAATTTCAGTTCCAAAATAAATGAATTCCTTTAACTTTGCAAAGACTATTACATATAACACTGTGTTACGAAATTTGAATATATAGACATTTTTAAAGTAGAGTGTTTATGTGTGTAACTTTTTAAAAATATGTAACCATAAAAAAGTAGGTAAATAATATCATTTTCAACTTAGAGTGCTTTTCTAGGAGGCAGTAGAACTTTGTAGTTAAGTGTCTGGCATTAGAGTAACTAGCTTCAAATCCCAGCCTTGCCACTTACTA